AAACCAGGTTTAATCCACCATTTTCTACGTGAGAGAATGTCTGTACCAAGTCAGGAATATGAAGTTGTTTTCAGTTTGTTTGATGTGTTTGAGGTTTTGATTTTGTCATTTGATTAAGTACTTTCCGTTTTGAATTTTCCGTGGAGTTCGGTATTTTTGCTATTTTACTTTTTACGGAACTGGCAAAAGACTATTGACCAAATATCTGTGCAGAGTCACAAAAAACATAACCAATTAAATTGCAAGAATCAAATGTATCCTGTTTTCTGAATTGTAGGACCTCGATGCTTTGAGATATGTCAACATTGCCATTATTTTAAATCAAACAACAAACACGCATTCTGAGAGTAGTGCATGGCAATACATAGTCCCCTACCGGTTAAAAATTAATTGTACTGGAACAAAAATGCTAACTTGATCTATAACTTGTCATGGTGAAAACTGTATAACAAATATCTAGTCAATATCTTCAAGCATGACGGAAAAAAGTGTGGAAAACTGATTATTTAAGTAAATTTTCTAAGTCCAAGGACCATAACTCTGCACAAAATCATCAGACCGGAACAAAATTTGAACTTTGTCTGTAACATGTCATGATATAACTATATACCAATTATCAAATCAATATCTTCAAGCAGGACGAAAATAAGTGTGGAAAACTGATTATTTGAGTGAATTTTCTAAGTCCAAGGACCATAACTCTGCACAAAATATCAGACCGGAACAAAATTCGAACTTGATCTGTAACTTGTCATGATAAAACAATATACCAAATATCAAATCAATATCTTCAAGCACGAAGAAAGAAAGAGTGGATAACTGATTTGCCGGACTGACGGATGGACAGACAGACAGACAGACAGACGGACGGAGTTGAATCTTAAAGCCCTCTTCGACTTCGTCGGTAGGGGATTAATAACAACCAACAAGTTTGCATAACTCATCTTTTGCTATTGTTTACATGTATAGATATTCCTAATTTTTCCGATAATAACTATACTGCGTAACTATGTTTTTTTTTCCTTTTTTTTAGCTTACTCTAAATGCATTTCTTTCAAAATAGCATTAGACCAATGTCTATCATTTTGCACTTTATCTGTCAAAATTTAAACTTTAAAAAAAACACACACAAACTCATCCTAAAACTACAGAGGTAGCATACAAAGGTGTGTATAAGGTTCTATACACACAACTGAATAGTTCACCCGTTATTACAACATAATTTTATCAAAACTCCATTACAACATGTATCAAAGTACACTGCCATTACAACAGTACTGAAAAAATAATGCTGATCTGATTTCTTGATAGTTTTCATGGTTTTAAAATTTTCGCTTTTGAAATTTTAATTCAAGAAGGGTAATAGCATTAGTTTCACTAGAACAGGAAGTTGTGAGCATATTGTAGAAAACGATTAAAATTGTTGAAATTGCATTTTAATCATTATTAGGGTTTGCCTTATAATAGTTTTATCATATCTCTATTCATCTGACTTCTATATGAAATAGGAAAAATAACTGTTATTGATAATTTTACTTTTAGCTTAATGACAAGGTCACCATGTAATTTGGGACGAGAAATTCCATTAGAAACATAGTCAAAATAATGAACTCGGCCACATTTTATTAGAAGCTCCTTATTTTGTTAAGAGTTTATTAAAACTTTTTATCAATCTATTATAATGGTAAATTTGAGACAACAGTTTTGAAGTGAACTGATTGTTTTAGATTTGACCATGTTTAAATCTTTGATGTAGGAAGATGTAAACATAACGTACTGATTGTGATATAATTGCCTTAGGCAGGAGCTTTTGTCACATCGCTATACAACCACGAGAAGTTAATTATAGAGAACCCGAAATCATCTCTCTTATCGTAAGTGTTTGTTGTTGCATTACCATAATACAAAGGAGATCTAAATTTAATAAAATGCTCCGCTGGAGCGCAGCTTGATACGACCGTAGAGGTCGAAACCTGATCAGTTGGGACAAGTATAGACACTACATTCAAGCTTGATACAGCTCTGATTTTGAATTGGGATTAAATTATTTACAAAGCATAGGTTTCTGACACATAATGATTGCAGTCACAGAACTGTAAAAATGGAAATTGGACTTTTACAGAAATCTTTTATGGTACAATATTCAAAATCTAAATACATGGTTAGATTCAGCATATCCAAGTACACCAAGAATTTAATTTATGTATTTATTAGTGGACTATATCAGCTAAGTTTTTATAGGGTTTCGCTTCATAAAAAAAAGGATTTATACAAAATAACCAACAAACCTACCAGCAAGTTAGAACTTTAAAAAATTATAAAAAAAAAAATTAGAAAAAATAATTTTCAAAATATCATTCATCATAAATACAATATCCTTTAAAAAATCTATTTAACTTGCCTTATAATTTTTCATATCTAATAATGAACAGTAAATTTCATACTATTACTTCTAAAATTATATTTCAGTTATATCTATTTTTAACTTTGAATCTACTTACAATTTCTATTGATTGTGCAATGCAGCTCTGAATTTGGATTGAGACTAAACAGTTGACATAGCATAGGTTTCTGACACAAAGTGAATGTGGTATAAGAAAATAAGATTTGAAATTGGACTTTTACCTATTATGGTCTAATGTCCAAAATCTAAATACACAGTTAGATTCAGCATATAAAAAGTAAAATCACAAAAATACTGAACTCCGAGAAAAATTCAAAAAGGAAAGTCCCCAATCAAATGGCAAAATCAAAAAAACAAATACATCAAACGAATGGATAACAACTGTCATATTCCTGACTTGGTACAGGCATTTTCTTATGTAGAAAATGGTGGATTGAACCTGGTTTTATAGCTAGCTAAACCTCTCACTTGTATGACAGTCGCATCAAATTCCATTATATTGACAACGATGCGTAAACAAAGCAAACAGACACAATAGGTAAAAATGTCAAAAATAGGAGTACAGCAGTCAACATTGTGTTATCATCTTAATCACTATAAAAACAAACAAATGTAACGAAGAAGCACAAAAAGGCATACATCAAATTTAAAATCCTCATTTTGCTTATGTTATACGGTTTTATTTATCTATGTAAAATCCACCCATAAAGGATGGAAGGTTTTAAGTACTGGCGTAAAATCGCGCGTTTGAAATTCAAAATAATTTTGTCGTTCAAAGTATGAGGGGATACATAAATACAGAGTTACGTAAAATGGATATAACAAAAAACAGACTTAACAGTAAAAGTAATATTAATAAATAAAATAAAATAATTGTCTGGTACAAAGTATGACGATAAACATAAGTACAGAGTCACGTCAAATGTATATCACAAAAAACAGACTCAACAGTTTATTCTTATAAAAGAACCCCAAGAATTCAATTCAAAAACGGGGCCTATATTCATAAATCTTAATACATGGTTAGATTCAGCATATTAAAGAACCCCAAGAATTCAAGTCTTTTGAAGCAAACCCCATTGAAATAAGCAATTTATACAAAGTAATAGAAAAGTTTTGTTTTTGCCCCTTTTCCTTTAATGGTTAGGGCCATAACCTCCAAAATCAATCCCAACCTTCTGTTTTTGGAACCTTGAGCTAAAATTTTAAAGAAATCCATACACTTATACACAAGTTAATGTTCTGAAACAAGAACAATTATTGTGTTTGACCCTTTTGGCCCCTGGTTACTAAACAGCTACCACAATAACCTCCGAAATCAATCCTTATCTTCCTGTTGTGGTATGGAACCTTGTGCTAAAATGTCATAGAGATGCATACCCTTATACTCAAGTTATTGTCGGCGAAGCAGAACGATGCTTGTTTTTGGCCTCTTTTAGAACCCTTATTACTAAACAGCTACAACAATAACCTCACAATCAATTCCAACCTTCCTATACTGGTGGTATGTAACCTTGTGCTAAAATGTCATAGAGATTCATACCGTTATACTCAAGTTATTGTCTGCAAACCAGAAAAATGATTGTTTTGGTCCCTTATTGGCCCTTAATAACTAAACAGCTACAGCAATAACCTCACAATCAAGCCCAACCTTCCTATACTGGTATGTAACCTTGTGCTAAAATGTCATAGAGATCCATACAGTTATACTCAAGTTATTGTCTGCAAACCAGAAAAATGATTGTTTTTTGTCCCTTATTGGCCCTTGATAACTAAACAGCTACGACAATAACCCCATAAAATCAATCTTAACCTTCCTATTGTGGTATGGAACCTTGTGCTTAAATGTCATAGAGATCCATACACTTATACTCAAGTTATTGTCTGTGAACCAGACAAATGCGTGTTTTAGGTCCCCTTTTGGCCCCTAAAAACTAAAAATCTACGACAATAGACCCCAAAATTAATCCCGACCTTCCTCTTGTCGTATGGAACCTGGTGATAAAAATTTCTGCGAACTAAAATGTCTTCGGGCGACGACGCAGACATCGCCATAACATTATACGAACGAAGCCAACTGGAAGCAGTAACGTAGTGTTGTCTTGCATTAATATCTGTAGTTGTCACATGTGTATCATGGGTTTTGGCTTTAATTAACTTTAATTCTTTGGGGTAAAATTTCAGGAACATACCTTTCAAAATATGGGTTATTAATATATTTTAATTTCATTAAGGTACTGAGATGTTCTGTTAAAATTATCTATAAAAGTATGGCAATAATTAAATCACTATGGACACTTTTGCATACACGGTTTTTTATGTTACTTGTACATTTGGATCCTTTTTGTGTACCCTCTGGACATCAAGGAGTTGAACACCAAATATCCTATTAACGTTAAAATATAATTTTCGATCCCTTTACAGTTTATGTTTTATAGTCCCCTATCAAATAGCAAAATCAAAAGCTCAAACACATCAAACGAATGGAAACAACTGTCATATTCCTGACTTGGTACGGACATTTCCTTTTTAAGAAAATGGCGGATTAAACCTGGTTTTATAGCTAACTAAAACTCACACTTGTATGAAAGTCGCATAGAAATCAATTATATTGACTGAGCAAAACAAACAGATATAATAGGTCAAAATATCATAAATACATCACTACTAAATGTTCAAGGTTATGATAATCGACATCTTGTTTAGGTAACTTATGTTGTACTTAAAAAATACAGATATAATTTAATATCAATCCATTGCTAATGTATAAATGGTTTTGTCTGTGTGCTTATATTTTGTCAAAACTACAAACCCAAAAGCTATGGTTGTATTATTATGAATATATTAGAAAAGCTTAGTCTAAATTTTAATCCTTGATTTTCATACATTTATACAGTATAAATCTTGTCAATAAATAGTGATTGATGTCATACCAGTGATTGTTCATCACTTTTTAAACATCCTCCCGGCTCCCTGTATACAATTATCAGTAAATACATTGTATTTTGGACCGCCAGTCTCAACATAACTTCCAACATTGTGGTTACCGCCGACCTCACGTGATCCCTTAGATTTCCATTGATCGGACATATGTTTCGCATCAACTACAACCGTCTGACTAGTCTTTCCGAAGCCACCACCTTTATGAACGAGGTATTGATTTCCATGGTCCGTGGTTACTCTAAAAAGAAATATGAAAACAGTATTTTGTGATTAATACTTAGCATTGGCAAAAAAAAATCTTCAGTACTATGGTATACATAAATTAAACCAATGATATTTGCATTTATATTTTCCTCAAACACTGATAATAAATTTTCTCAAAAATTTCAGATATTTATCTCAAAGTATTCGACAATTGGCCAATATTGATATTAAATGAAGTTATTTTATGTATTATCAGCCCTTGGTATGTTGGGTTAGACCTGGAAGATTAAGCAAGAGAGATTGTACCTTACGCCCTGATGAGGAACAAAAGGGATTTTTGCACTACCACCGCTACTGTTCATTGGTCTTTTCATACGTTCCACATTCGTCACTTTCTCGTTATATATACCGGTCAGTCCACTTTTCGTCTTTACGTCATGAGGGAAATTTGCCATTTCAAACCTAAAAAACATTTAATTATTACATAAACATCTCCATGTACATAGATTCCTCTAAGATTAGAGATCATTCAAGTCGTTATATGACATCATTTTACCAATAAATTTAATATGGGAGCCTCAGAAGCTTTTCATATGTGCAAGTGCAGGCTCCGAATTGAGTTAGCACCCGTGTTTGTGCCCTGAACCAGAAATTGAAAGATTCAGGAACGAAATGAATTATTAGTCCGAACACCATTCCAAAATAGGAGAAAATTTAAGTTTGTCTACCATCAACATCACCTCCACCACCACCACCACCACCACCACCACCACCACCACCACCACCACCACCACTACCACCACTGCCACCTATGTTTGCACCATAGAATAGGTCTCAGTCAAACTGGAGTAAATAATGAATAATGAATACAGAATGCGAAGCTGTTGTTAATCACATATGTGGTGGCTTTGCGTGGTAGTTGTGGTGATGGTTGTGATAGATACACTGTTATCATTGCTATTCGGGACGATATGAGTGAAATAATCTTAACTGGGGCGTTTAGCACCATGAACGCGTATCACAGACATCAGTGCCAGTTCAAATTCATGTTACAACATAGTTGTCAGAACATTTGCCCTCTGACGATTTTTTTTCTATCTCAAGCTCTACCTAAAAAACATTTCAATAAAGCGGAAACGTATTTTCATTTTTAATATTTTTGATATCAAGTCAAAAATCACAATCTAACTAGTTTTACTAATAACATTACCGTGTATTTGTGATATCTCCCTATTTCAAAAAAAAGAAAGTAATCTTTTTCTGTCAGGTTTTCGATCCAAAGATCAAATGAACGGAAAACCACAGTTATAAAAAGAACTTTTAATAGATGGTAATTAAATGCGCGGGGCGCAGCTTGATACGATCGCAGAGGTCGATCCCTGAACAGTTAGGGCAAGTATAGACACTACATTCAAGTTTGATACAGCTCTGAATTTGGATTGTGATTAAATATTTGACACAGAATAGGTTTCAAAAAAATTACCAAAAAGTGAAGAAACAAATACAATTTTCAAAATATCATTCCTCATAATTACAATGTCTTTTTCAATATGTAATAATGAACAGTAAATTTCAAACTAAATGTATACATAATTTCTTCTCTAACATTAGATTTACTGCTGTATCTATTTTAACTATGATTCTATTTACAATTTCTATTAATTGTGCAATACAGCTCTGAATTATGACTGTGATAATATATTTAACATAGAATAGTTGTTGCTTACACAGAATGAATGTGGTCTAAGAACTTAAAATTTTGAAATAAGACATTTGCCTATTATGGTCCAATATCCAAAATGTAAATACATGGTTAGAATCAGTATATTAAAGAACCCCGAGATTTCAATCTTTGATGAAATCAAACTAAGTTTAATTTTGGACCCTTTGGATCTCAATGTAAACCAATTTGATAACAAGGCCCTACATAGAAATTCTAAATACGAGATTATATTCAGCATATCAAAGAACACATATATTCAATTTTTGTTGAAATCAAACAAAGTTTAATTTTGAAGCCCGATTTGGACCTATTTGAAAACCGGTCCCAAAATCAAAAATCTAAATAAACGGTTTGATTGGCATATCAAATGACCCATATGGTCACAAAAGATGGACGTTTTTTCCAATGCAGCTTTGAACAGATAAAGATTTTACGGTTTACCGGATGTATTTTAAGTATGAAAATGGTATAAATTAATGAAGAAGCTGGAAATATATTGGATTTTAATATGTGCATATTTGTTTCTACAGCGAATTTGTAGATATTGTAAACTTTGTAACTTTTCTTCCGTTGCTAATGTAAACAAGTTAATGATGGCGGTTTGTTGAAATCAAACAAAGTTTAATTTTGAAGCCCGATTTGGACCAATTTGAAAACCGGTCCCAAAATCAAAAAATTAAATAAACGGTTTGATTGGCATATCAAATGACCCATATGGTCACGAAAGATGGACGTTTCTTCCAATGCAGCTTTGAACAGATAAAGATTTTACGGTTTACCGGATTTATTTTAAGTAGGAAAATGGTATAAATTAATGAAGAATCTGGAAATGTATTGGATTTTAATATGTGCATATTTGTTTCTACAGCGAATTTGTAGATATTGTAAACTTTGTAACTTTTCTTCCGTTGCTAATGTAAACAAGTTAATGATGGCAGAAACAGCTGTGGTTTTTGTTGATGGAGCATGCAAAAACAATGGTCAAACAAGCGCAAAAGGCGGCTGTGGTGTTTTTTGGGGACACTTTCATCCGTTGAATGTAAGTGAATACTTGGAAGGAAGTAAACAATCAAATAACTGTGCTGAACTATCAGCCGCAATTATTGCATTAACGCAAGCACAAAAGTTTAGATTTACGGATGTGGAAATTTATACAGATAGTAAATATGTAAAGGATGGAATTACTAAGTGGATCGGACAATGGAAACAAAATTCATGGAAAACAGGTCGAGGCAGCGGAACTGTGTTAAATAAAGAATTATGGATGTTGTTGGATAAATTGCAGAGTAACATAAAAGTTTATTGGAAATGGGTCGAGGGTCATAATAATGTGGAAGGGAACATAGAAGCGGATTCACTAGCAAAAGCAGGAATTAGTAATACTTCATCATATTGGCAACGTATGGCCGCAATAGATAAAATTGCTGAGGTATGTGTAAATGAAATCAAACAAATTGATGAGTGTAATAGTATAGAAGTTGGAGTTTTAGCAGATGATAAAGTAAAATCCCATTGTTCATTATGTAAAGATTCCGTTGATGAGATAGGAATAAGGTGTGTACATTGTAAAGGTTGGTATCATTATATTTATACTTTCTTACCACCTTATCAGTTGTATTTGTTTGTAAATTCGCAAAGAAAATTTACGTGTGAAAAGTGTTCTGGTGTTACAAATTTGTTTATTGTAAAAAATAAGCTTGATCAAAATAATTGTTCACAAATTGGAGTTCAGTGTGAGCTTGCACATGAAGAAGAAATAAAAAGTACACACGTTTCATCTAAACAAATCTGGAAAACAAATTTGCAAAATATGTTTAACTCATAGGAACTAAGTACCAAAACACCGAACGAATCGGAAAATGATAGTATCAATGTAGAAGAGTCCTGCTTTGAAAAACAAATGTTATCTATGCAATCAAAATTCGTAGATACTTTAGATAAGATTACTGAAGCACACGATAAAAGAAATCAATTAGAACAGAAATTTGAATTAGTATTAACACAAAAAGAAAACTTAGAGAAAAAGTTAAGAGCCATGGAAGCCAAATTTGAGGAAATATCTCTATGTAAATTATGTACAAACTTCGAGCAAGGGGTTAATAGATGTCGACAAGAGAAAAACAGTTTACAAAGTAAATATGCAGATTTATTTTTAGAAAGAGAAGTAGAAGTAGTTAAATATGAAACTGAAATTAAAATTGCAAAACAAAAGATGGATTGTAGTAACAGTGAAATCAAAGTTCTGTCAATTCAAATAAAACCGTACGAAGAAAGGTTACATTGTACAGATATATCCTTATTAGAGATGGAATATAAAGTGTGTGAACAAAGAAATGAAATTATTAAGTTACACGAGGATTGTTCTTTATTGAAAACACAAGTGAATAATAAGTCAGACACAAGACAAAGCAATTTACAAACCGTAAGTAAAAGTACAGACACCGAGAGTAACGTACACCAAGTTGATGTCGCATCTATTGATAATTTATCAAACTCCACACCAGTGGTTAAAAATAATGTAAAACAGAAAAATCTGCAATCTTCAGGAAATTTAAATAAAGGGAGGGAAAATAGAAAAGAAATACTTATGATAGGAACCTCAAACACAAAATATATAAGTGCTAAGTATCTATCGTTTGGAAGTGCAAATGTCAACAAGATTATCAAATACAAAATACAGGAGTCTATGGAATATATAGGTACCATTGACGATCCGAATGTCAATTATAATGCAATCATTTTACACATTTTGGGAAATGACATTGAACACAAAACACCAGAAGAATGTATTGCATTTTGCAAACTTTGATAGATCAGATAAGAGAGAAAAAATTGAGCAAGAAACTTATCATTTCACTTGGACTGCCTAAAAAAGATGGGATAAAAAATAGAAATGTAGAAAAACTGAATATCATGATAAAAGACAAATTTGGTGGTGCCAGTGACACTTTCCTGTGTGACAATAGTAACTTGTCATTTCGTGGTCAACCAGCAAACGGTATATTGATAAATGATGTTATACATTTGACTAAAAAAGGGACATATATATATACTGTCAGGAAATCTTAAGCAGGCAATTGGTCATAATTTAGAGCTTCGTGGTGACAGACTGGAGATAGGAGGACATATTGGTGTTCAAAATCGGACTTGGTATACATCCGGAGGCCGTAATGTCGGAGCAATCAAAACATGGTGGTGAAGAACTCGATAAATATAGGCTATTGGAATTGGAAATCTATAGGAAAGTGTGATATTATTGGATTGTCTGAAACTAAATGTGATTTGTCAGAACTGGATAACTACATTGTTAGTCATTTTAACAGGGCACAAAACCCAAAACAAAAGCAAGTATATGGTGGTTTAGCAATTTTAATCAACAAAAATGTAGGAAAGGGTGTAAAATTCCTTAAAAATACATGCTCAGAGTACCAATGGCTAATATTGGATAAAACATTTTTTTGGTTTTGAAGACAATATATTTTTATGTTTTGCTTACATACCCCTCATTAATTCTTCTTTTTTAAATGACAAAGACTTTGATATTTTGGCTAATCTTTCTGATGAAATAGCAATTTAAGATAAAGGTCAAGTTATGATTTTAGGGGATTTTAATGCAAGGACAGGCAATCTTGAAGATTTTATAAGTAATAATGATGACGATTATAATGATTATGTCCCTGTACCTGAGGAGTATGAATCGGATAAAATAAAGCAGTCACTAGTGCGTAACGATAATAAG